AACAAAGATTAATCAATATTTTGATAAAAGTGTAAGAACCATGAATGCACTAACTTCAGAACACAAATGTAGACCTAGGATCCTGGGTTCAGGCACAAGCCAGGTTAAATCTGTTAACATTCTGATATGTTATAAAATAACACATTTAAGCAAAAATATTATAAAATTAATTCCTTGAAGATGTGTCAGTGAATATCCACTCTGAAAAATGGATCAATTATGGCATCCCACACCTGTCTGCTTATTCATGCTTAAATCTACTATAAGAACTTGTGACATAAAGACAAATATGTCATAATATGCAAACAACACTATATGTGTCATATCCAGTGCCAACAGGCCTTTTGTCCAAAGCCAGGCCTCATCAGACACAGCAGTGGTCTAGGTGCTACTTATATAATTAGTTGCATGAACAGAAACTGTAATGGTGTAAACTAGGTGAAGTGAAATGTAATTATCAATGATATCTAAGTAATTTACAAATCAGAATTATGGCAAACATTAATAATAAGGTATTACAATTTATTCATGTTAATTGATTTAAGATTGAGCTCTTTTCACATTTATTAAACTTTATCTACAACTTGAAATCACAATGCAAGACAATTGTAATTACAATTGGTGAAAGGTACTAGTAATACAGCCTCAGAAAACATTAGGAACTAAACTCTAAAATAGCAGATACTACAATAGTTCTGCATACACAAGATGCCAAGCAGACACAAAGGCTCAATCATGCTATTTTAGGAACTACTGATACTAAGGCAGTAGTAATTTTCCAAACTGCAGAAGTAAAAAATTGGAAAACGTTTAACTCTCCATTGCACTTGGCATGGAAAAAACTTTGAATTTATTAATGTAAATGACATGCTAATATTTATTGGCCAAAAAGAAGAGAAAAAATATAAGTGTTGCTTCTATTTCATGCAATAACAGGCTGTGACACAGTTTTGTTCTTTGCAGGAAGAGTAAAAGATGTGCCATGGACAGATGGAACACATTTAATGATGTTATAAATGCACTATTGTAACTAATGAACAGTGTTATCACCAATGAAGCTCTTGCCATGAATGAACAATTTATCATTTATCTTAATTGCATCAGTAATTTCACAACTGTAAAAGCAGCCATAATAGTGATGTTTGTCCACAGAAACCAAACACAAGAAAATATTTCCCCAACTCAAGCTGCCCTGATATTCACTGAACAGCCCTACAAGTTACATTTAATTGCAGACAGCAAATGTTACCAAATCAGAATCATGTGGCTGAAGAGAGGTAGATGACAAACTGAAACTTGTATAGACAACTCTGTCAGAAGTAGCATTTGTTCTTTGAATAGTTTTGAAATATGCTAGTTATTAAGGTTGTAAAATGGTAAATGTCTACAGTGTACTGCTCTATGTCATTGTGGTGGTGGATCTAATTATGTAGAGTTGTGGCAATACAGCGATTCAATACAAGTATCTTCACGAAATTTCAGTAAACATTATAAGGACAGAAAAAGTCAGAATTTCTAATAAAAGTATTCTTTGCTAAAAATTAATGATTCAATAAAGGAAGATGAGTATCGAGTACTACATGTTGTCTTCATTTCTTTTATCCAAAACATTACATGCAAGGTGACATAAATTAACAATAACGAAATAGATAGACATATCAACTTTTTACTTTACTTTTCTTGTCAGCTGCCATTTAGTTAATCAAACCTGAGAATTTGAAAAAGCACTGTAAAGTGTAAAGTACTTAAATAAGACAATGTTAGTAATATCGACAAATTATAGACAAGACTGTCAAACTTTGTAACAAACCATTGGTAAAACTTCTGTATCTAAATACGTATCTTATTCACTAATACGATTAGATACACACCCCTAATGACAAGTATCCAGGTTATGTAAATTGAAAAAGATAATTTTATAAAAAAAAAAAAAGAGTTCAAAGTTTATAATGGCCATAAGAATCTGTACTAAATTATTATTCTATTCATGATTAACTCAGTAAATATAATGGAAGTTTGAGTAAGACTAAATTCATAAGAAAGACTGATCTAGAAATATGAAATCACAATATGTCACTTCAAAACTGCCTTCATCTTTTAAATAAATCAGTACATCAAGATATATCTCCATGACAAGTTTCATGTGTTTACTATAAACACACTGTTTGGCCATTTTTTTTTTGTCACATATCCAATCCACTAATATGCACAACTTGACTTTTATCAAGATCTAACACCATCTGCCAGGTATTACTCCAGCTAACAAAATAGTCCAAACAGACTCTGCAAAACTTTGGCATTTTTAATACAATTTGAAATGCCAATCAATTTAACATAATCTGCAAATTCAATCATTTTGTTGGTTATTCCTCTACTAATGTCATTAATGATAATAACAAATAGCAACATATTCAGCAGAACCCCCCCCCCCCCCGAGATGTACAAATTGTAACATTATTCCACTGTGATTATACCCCACTTATAATAACCTTCTGCCTTCTATAATCCAACAACTTTGAATCTACTTAACAAGCTTATTTCCTGCCTTTACTAATGTCATTAATGATAATAACAAATAGCAACATATTCAGCAGAAAACCTCCTGAGATGTACAAATTGTAACATATTCCACTGTGATTATACCCCACTTATAATAACCTTCTGCCTTCTATAATCCAACAACTTTGAATCTACTTAACAAGCTTATTTGCTGCCTTGACAGATGCGATCTCTCAAAGTATTCAAAATGGCACCCATAAAAAATTTTCTAAAAGTCCAAGTTCACTAAATTCCTCTCATTACCTACATGTATATTTAGATAAAATATAACATTTTCAAAGTTATCAAATTCACATGCATGACCTTCCCTATCTATATTCATGCAGAATGACTGTGATAATACAAAACTTGTCTAAATGCTTTTGTAGTATTTCTTAATTAAAGTAATTTTCCAATTAGTGAAGTAGAAATCCAATAGTTACTTGGACATTGTCTATCTCCCACCATGCTTAAAAATTAGCATGATATTGGCTAATCTTCAGTATCATGGTACCTCACCATTTTTAATAGATTCATTAAAAATTGAGGTTTGCATACCATAAATCTGTTTTATTTTTTCCATCACTGTCTTAGCATAAATACTACATGGAAGAGATGGTTATCTTTCTTCAGTTTTTCAGTATTGAATCGTACTAGTTATCGACTTGATTATAAATTTTATGAAAAGATCAATTTAAGGAATACACCCTACACCTTCCCTAATAAAGAATGATGAAAAAATAATAACGTAGATGTTCAATTATCTTGAAATCCTTAACCAAAATCCCCTCATCTTAATTTTTAAAGGTCGATCGACATCCCATTCTAACTTTGGTTCCTTTCAACATACTTAAAAACTTGTTAATGTTAATATATTTTGCCAATTGTTTGTCATATGCCCTTTTTGATTTCCTAATATCATTTCAAACCACATCTATACTACTATAATACATGTACGAACCATTTCTAACTGTTCAATATCCTTCCTAAGGTAAGAAGCCCAAAACTAAGTACAATGCTGCAAATTAGACCTAATAACCTAAACAATGAAATTACAAACTATTTTGGCTTATATTCAATATTCTACAGGAGTTTTAAAAGGGGAAATTGATAATTTACTAAAAAATTAAAGGTGGATTTAAACTTTTACTTTTCTCAGTGGTAAGTGTACAATGACAGCCTTGAAAGACCAAGTGATCCCTTGTTTTAAATATTTTATCATTTGGGAGTTGATGATAACCACATAATTAGGTTTGAGGTTTTATTTTATGCTAAAATGATGCTTAACAATACCTTAGTACCAAAATATAGAACAGGTAACTTTGATGGTATGAAAAATGAACTATATCAGGTGAATAAAATAGGCTGTAAAATTCAGATGCTTGTCTTAAGTGGGAAATCTTTAGGGACAGTAGAGGCGTACATGTATTATAGTAGTATAGATGTGGTTTGAAATAGGCTGTAAAATTCAGATGCTTGTCTTAAGTGGGAAATCTTTAGGGACCGTGGAAGCAAAGAAGGACTAATAATATGATACCTGGGATGGAAAGGTTGTCATACAATGACAGGTTAACATTTCTATAATTGTCTTCTCTTGAAAATAGGAAAGATGGAGGGGATCTGATTGAGGTGTTTAAGATTGTTGAGGGAATTGGTAGTGTTGATCTATTATCTTTCTTTGTACTTCATGATAAGAATGGTAGAGCAAGGTGACACAAATGTTACAGAAGACTAGGAGTCAAGGTTGCCAGATCTTACAATAAAAACAAGTCCAAAACATGTCACTCCTTAACCAACCAATGCATTTCTGTTGAAAAACTATAGTAACACAAATTATCAACAAATATTAATGTAACTGTAACAAATACAATGCCCAAATCTATTGCCTTGCGAGCTCTGCTAGAAGTCATCTTCTGCTAAGACAGTTTTATTTTTCTAGCTCTAGTAACAGGATGGTTGACATTTAGAATGGATTACTTTTAGACTTGGTGGATCCAGTATGTGAAAAGTTTAATAAATATTTGAGTGACAAGGGTTGGGCTTGAGGTTGTTTACATTATTAACTCTTAACTTAGCTTAGTGGATACGGCAGCCTCAATCAATGAGTCAATGGGCCAACAGATCTCTTGTCCTTAAAAATTAAATGTTAAGGATATTTGTTTTATGTGTTGAGTTACCTGCAAGAGAACACAATCTTTTTAAAAGTTTATTTAACTTCTTATCTTTAAGACAATAGCAGAACTTGCCAAAAATAATGTTGTCAAAATTAGATAAAAAAGAGTATTATTTTACCAAGAGTAAGACACCATAACTTAGGTTGTAAGTGTAACACTTAAGTTACACTTCCACTTTTTAGTTTTACAGCAAATCTTATAACTGATACTATTAGTATTATTATTACAAATCAGTATGTTACTCAAGTTACAAAATTAGATACACTGTGAAGCAAATAGCTATTTTACCTATAGGCTGTTGGTTTAACCACACAACTCGGGACTCCAGACTAATTAACGTGAGGCTATAGAGGTAGGTTAATCATGCAAAGACAAGCAGCGACGATTGAAATATTACACCTTCTTAACGGCTGCAATTAACTAACTTAATCAATTTAAGCCTAAGTCTTATTTTGACTAAGTAACCCAGTGTAAATAACTTCAGTTGTATACCTTTAATTTTAAACAAATTTAAACATTCAAAATACTAGAAATAAATAAAAATCACATTCTTAATCGCGAAATCAGACAGCCCGTTTTTTAAAGATTAAAAACAAAATTCACATAGCAAGTATCTCACTAACGTTGACCTAGTATTCCTTCTAATCTATATATATTACTTATATATCAAATAAATTGCAAAATACGCGAAGTTTAGGCCTACGATTATGTTGTTTTGATAGTCACCATTAATGAATTTGTCTATCACCAGATGTCTCTAAATTAATAAGAAACAATTTGCCCTTTTTTTTTATATTAACTTAATTTTATTACAGAGTGTATGCCATAGCAACCCCCTAATGAAATACTAAAAATATCACTTCTGTTGTATTTCATACGGCTTTTTATAATACTTTTATGTTGTACAATTATTGAAGAATGATTTGTGTGTGTCAGAGAACGCTCAGTATTTATAAGGGAGTGAACCGGGAGAATTGTGGGGATAATCAAATTTCTGTGCACCCAAATAAGGGGTTGGCCACTTCTTATGCAAGGAGAAAAATGGTTGAATTACTTTTTGTATACGGTAAAAGGACTATGTTTTAATATACTAAATACAAACAAAGTATTACTCATATTACACCAGAACATAAAATCAAACATTTGCGACGTTAGACAAGATTGAATTTTCAATGACTTTTAACATAACATAAATATTTAAGGACAACAAAAGGCGTATGTGTTTTCTGAAGGCAACCATTCCAAAGGCCAGTCACAATATTAGGAGAATAAAAATGTCTTAGCTGAACGTTACTCCTACCTTTCCAAAATTTATATTTGAAAATTGGTTCCAGACTGTGGAGTCATTAGCTAAACAAACATATCTTTGCTCTGGGCATAGATCACGGTGGGTGATAACCACCTTGTGACATGGTCCTTAATCTTATGTATCATCCTACCAGGTTTGGTTGAGATTGGTCCAAAGACTACGGGGCCCAGTATGGCCAGGTGGTTAGGGCGCTCGACTCGCAATCTGCGGTCGCGGGTTCGAATCCCCGTTCCACCAGACATGCTCACCCTTTCAGGTGTATTGGTTATATTTTTTTCTAATAGAATAAAGCTTTAGCAAAAGCACAAAAAACGAATATTTCAATGCTCGTGATTATTATGACATATGAATTTGTATTTCAAGTGATATGTCTACAATAAATACACCTTATAAATAATCCTGCAATTAAATGTTGTTTATTAAACAGCCAAAAAAAAAAAAAAGTTCATTGTTCTCATGAAATCATCATAATTCAGATCACTAATCAAAATCCACATGGAAAATATACTAAAGAACTTTCATCTTTAAATACAATCGTCTAAAAAGGTTATATTAGTATTGTTATACCCCGGATAAATGTCTAGTGTATGTCTGAAACAAACAATTTTGACTGTAATTAAACATTAAACAAGTATTATAACTATAAACAAGAAAGGATAATTTTTTTTTTAAAATTAAAAAACAACAACCAAGGAATGTTTGAATTTTACTTAATTATTTTCCTGACTTTGAAAAGTCTTCTGATGGCTCAGAGGTAAGTTTGAGGGCTTATAACTCTATAAATCGGGTTTCGTTATTGGCGGTAGGCAGAGTACAGATAGCCTATTGTATAGCTTTGTGCTTAACAACAAACAAATAAAAGTGATTTTGAAAAGTAGAATATTCATTTTAGAAACTGGATTACTCTGGGCCCTATCCTGATAAAAGAATGGATAAGGTTCTGCATATGAATAGAAGTAGTCTCAAAGTTTTTCACCTGTGTAAATGTTAATATAACACTCTATTAGTTATCTACGTAGGACAGGTATTCGTCAAGTTCACGAACTGGTTTATTTTTGAATAAGTTATATTTCTATCCAACATTTCTTTATGTAACGTTTTACATGATCAAACCATTTTTTTTGATGATTTAGGAATTTTTAGATAATATGTTGAATTGGTAATATTTGTTTCCTATGTTCATATCCAACATTAAATATTTTTCAATACAGTCTATCTTTAGTCCGTATGGACAGCATGGTCCCATTTCATAGTGATATTTATTAAATTTTGCGGTTTTTAAAGAGAAATGAGTGTTTAACTTTAGTTGTGCATTTTCCACACACACACACACACAAAACACAACAACAATAAAACTCGTTATAGGCTCTTTGTATTTTATTTTATGTGATTATTTAATTGTAATTTCTTTTTCTAGGTTATTTATGGAATCATTTATAGAACTGTTAATTACAACTCTACATTTGACACTTTTAAACTTTTTAGTATTCATATTCTTTCTGTGTAAGAAAATGAGGTTATCAGTAACATCAATTGAGATTGCACCCTTTGTAGTTGATATGTGGGAAATCATTTTAAAGATACGGTCAATTAATGTTGCGGATGTGTGTGATCATAGTTATGGTTATAGACTATAAGTGCTGAGCTTGCAAAATGCATTTTTTTTCCAAGTCAGGTGTTCTGTTGAATGTCCTTTGTTATTCGGGTAGTTTCATTATATCAAGAATAAATATGTTTTGTACAGTGTAGTACATGGGCATATATATCAAAATATAGTCCCGTAAGAATGACACACTAATTTTTGACAACATGCATACTTTTGTTCAATAGGGTATAATAACCTAAAAAAAAATCATATTGTAAATTGTTTCTTCAAATCTGAATAATATTTATTAGAACACAAATAAATCCCTTGATTTTGGCTAAAAATTATGGATTTCAGAATATTAAGTATCAATGTACGTACAATAGAAAAATGATTAATAATGGCTGGAGACGGCTTAAATGGGTAATGAAGAAAAACTTTA